TATATATATATGTATATATGTAAAGTGTATGTACGGGATTAGATGGGAATATAGTATATGGAGATATTGCCGCAGTATATGTATTATCCCAAAATTTATGGTACCCCAAGGAATAACTCGATAAGCAAACACAGAAGAAATGGAACATGAAAGGGACACAGGGCTTATATTGTGGTTTTCAGGATTGAAGGAAGCGGGTTCCAGGTAGGGAACAGCCTAAGTTGTATCCTACAGTCCATTATACTTACTATTGCTTATTGCGCTAGTGTGTTATGATCTACCTACCTAATGTTTGAGTATATAGGCGGCTTTATAACGGATGGTATGCCCATGACTCGGATGATCAGAAAACGCAAAGTTTCATTTTAGAGGCACTCATCGCCGCCAGGCAACCTACTCACGCAGTCAGCCGCGTATGTCATCTTAGAGATTTTCTTGGCGGGGATGTCGCGGGTATTCTAGGGTGCCATGAAATATGCGAGGGCGTGTTTGGGCCAAGTTGCTTAATGCCACGTTGGATTTCTAACAACACCGCATTAGTTGAAGACAGGCCAATGCGCATTGGATTCCAGACTTGTCACTCCTCTCGTTCCCATCTCTAAGCTAGAACCAAGTACCAGCAATCAAAGGGAGGGAGGCGCCATTTTCGTGACGGCCGTGACCTTTGGCGTCTGAATTGGTCTACAAGATCTCAGCATTGCTAACTGTCACAGGGATGGTGCAGTTTGTGGCAAGATCCTTCAAAGTTCCCATAACAAGCTTGTTTCATTCTAAACCTCGGCCCCAGCCTCTCGCCCCCTGTGCGCAACCTCTCTCCGCCCCCACCCCCCGGCCCCCGGGAAGGTGTTCACAGTCGCTACATCACATTGCTAGTAGTTCCCATCTTTCCGCACCCTCACGGTGAGGATGTCAGATTTCAAGAAGTGCCTACCTGTAGTCCCCAGCCGTGGAGAATCCAATCGCCGAGTATCCTGGCGTGCCCAACCGCAGAGTATCCCACCAGTGCCCAACCGCAGAATATCCCACCAGTGCCCGGCGGCAGAGTATCCCTGCAGAGCTTAAACCGCAGAACTGCCCAACCACAGAATATCCTTGCAGTGCCCAAGCAGTGCGCGACAGACTATCCCTGCAGGGCCCAACCATAGAATATCCCAACTTCAGACTGCCTCTGCTGTGCCAATCTCTCCATGCAGTGCCCATTCGGAGTATGCCTGGAGCTCCCAACCTCAGAGCGTTACTATCAAAACTTGAAGCCTCGCACAGGCCACCCCACCACCCCAACGGTAGTNNATTGTTGCTGGAAGCAGTTGATGATACCCCGCAAAACGTCGGGGGTGGGGATGATCGAAGTAGATAATTGTCCTGGAATGAACGGGATGAGCTTCACATGTGTTAATTTGTATGCATGCGAGGAACATGCCGTTTTGTTGCAGGTCTCCCTGCTGCAAACGTCCTTGATAAAGGTCTTGGAATCCCCATGCTGGTTAGATTTGATAACACAGCGCATGTCAATCTTGCTCTCTTCCCAGTGGCTGTCAGGCAGGTGACTCAGCAGCCGCTCACACAGCAGAACATGAAAGTCAGGGCCTTAGGTTTGAGCCGCCGGCACCACACTTGGCTGCTGTTGTTGGAGGTGGCTTCACATTGTAGATCTGTGGAGACCAACAAAATCAAGGAATGAGTAGCTTTTTTGTGGTTGAACCAAGTAAGA